TTTTTCCCCCCCCCCCCCCCCCCCCTCTTTTCCCAAAAAAAGAAAAGATGAAATACTCCAAATCTTGCAAGTTAGAATAGTTGCACATTTGTGTAACCTCTCCCTTCCCACCTATATCGATATTGCAAGAATGGGCTTGCAAGAGTTAGGCAAATTATTTCACTTTCTCTACAGCTTGTATCCGCAACTATGTTGGTCGGACTCTTCGAAATGTCACCGGGTGCGTGTCAGATCCTCCAAAAGTAGAGCATTTTTGGAGGATCTGATACAGGTGCGGTAATATTTTGGAGAGTCCGCGTAACATAGATCCGCAACCACAATGGATGCATATCTTGTTTTGTGGGTGGGGTTGGAGTAGGAGTACTGGAAACTACTTCTTGTTAGATGGTCTGGCCAACCAAACATTGAAAAAGTTATTCTCTACTCACCTGACAAACACCAGAACATATGTGAGAAGCCATTTATTTTCCCATGGGAAAACATTTTCCTAGGGTTCTCCTCCGTACCAAAGACACCCCGTAATCGTGAAGTTTCCTCAAGCATAAACTTACCAGAGAAGATTTTTTTTTTTCTTTTCTTGAAGAGTGTTTCTGCCATGTTCACTTGTTAGTATAGTTTCCCCTTTAACCAGTGGAGTTAAACAGGACTACCAATTATAAATCAGAAGCTGCAAAGTGTTGATTACTTTAGACCGACAGTCTGGTGTTCACTTCTGATGGATTATTGTTTCATGAGAATGATTAGCAGATGTTTTTTCTTCTATTTAACCTAGTTGTCTTGTTGCAGCAATTTATGAAAGACATGCTCAAACTTCTCTGCATCTACAATAATAAGGGCGCTCATCAAGGCACTTACGAGCTGAAGCCTGAGTACAAGAGGTCAGAAGACAAGCCTGATTCTTGAATCTTGATTATTCATTGCATAATTAAGCTTTCTTGTCAGAGGCCTTAGCCATCAGCCAGGAGAAAACACCAATTGTTTCAATTCTTTTTGTGCATAAGATCAAGTTTAGAGAAATCCTAGTATATTTGCTTTATTCAAATCAATTATCTTCTACCTTTAGATTGCTTATCTTTTCAGCAAACTAGAATAATAGAGTGATAGAGGAAAAGCCGCCAGAAACGAAGCATATATTTTTGGAAAAGGGAAGTATCTGAAAATCATAAGGACATTCACGTCACTGGACAACTATTCTTTGCTGGCAGATTTATTAGATGTCAAGTTGTCAACTTTGACTTTAAGCTAAATATACGCACGTTCTTCCTTATATAGCCCATTGAGATGGGCCACAAAAGGTGGACATTAGGTAATTGGTAGGGATGTACAAATGAAATCGACAAACTGTACCAACCCGATAATCCGAATCAAACCGAGAAAAAAAATTCGACTATGGTTTGGTTTGATTTGGTTTGGTGTTGAAAAAAAAACCCGACCATATTTGGTTTGGTTTGGTTTTAACTAAAAAAAGTCAAACCGAAACCAAACCAACCCGACATTATATATATAGATGTTTTAAATATATTTAATGCTTAAACATATTTATTGTAGTGTAGTTTATAAATATTTCTTAAGTTTTTTTATAGTTTTATCTTTTAACGTATTATTTCAAGCTTGTGCTTATAATTTTTGGATGCTCCAATAAGTTTTATAGTCCATAAATGTTAGTAACTCAAATAAATCGTAAACCAAAATCAAATCAATATTAATGCTAATAAAAGACATTCAATTCAATTGTACTATAAATGAAAATAGTGTTGGATATCTATTTTTTAGTTTTTTATGGTTTAGATAAAATGTATAACTTATTTTTCTTTTAGTGGTTAGTCATGTAAATAATAATACTTATTAGTCGTAGTTTTAAATTATGTTTGTTTTAATTATGGCTTATTAATAATATTTATTTTATGCGATTTTATTATCTTTATTGTTGAATATTTTATTACAATGCCATGACTCATCTCATATTTATGTTATTTTATTAAAAAAATACCTTATATAGTTCTGTCTTACTAGGATTAAAGAAATATTTGGAGCACAAATTTTACGTTTTGTGCTATGAAGACTTCATGAAAAAAAATTCGAAAAATCCGAGAAAAATCGAAATTAAAAAATCCGACTTTTATTGGTTTGATTTGGTATTTAGATTTAATAACCCGATACAATTGGTTTGGTTTGGTAATTAGAAAATCCGAATCAACCCGAGATATGTAACCTATAGTAATAGGTATGAGTAACTTGAGTTGAATTTGGCTCTTAAATGTTTTGACTTTCGTGTTCTCTTGCCAAAATTTTGCATGAAGATTCGTGGTTAGTCGTCTTACCAACTTTGACAATGTCCTTGACATACCTTCCCACCCACTTTGGTGCACGTATGAAGGGATTGGGTGTTTGTAAATTTGACCAATTCTCTTGTTGCGAAGTTTGTTTACGAAAAGTCAGTGCGAGAGACATGCGCCAAAATTCGGCACAAAATGTTGAAAATTACAGAATTGACATTTTCTATAGAATTTTTGGAACATTTGATATTCAGATGAACCACATAGTAATGGACGTAACAAGGTAATGCTGCTAGCTATCAAAATATCGGATTCATGTTTCAAAACACTACAAGAATACGTCTTTAAGATAAATTCAAAAGTGGTGTCAAAATAAACTAATTGTTTCATTATTATTTACAATGTCAAAAGATATGTTCTAGTATTTTGAGTGTAGTTCATGAAAAGAGAGTATTGTCTGAGTCATAGGTAAAAAATAAATCAGATGAAGTCAACTTTGTTCTAGTATTTTAAGTATAGTACCATATACTATATTTTATTATGTTAATGGCTTCATATCATCTCTATTGTTCAGGTAGTTGACCTGTCACATTAGCGCAAATATTAGTTGGCCATCTGAAATTTTAATTTAGAGAAAATTAAGACTTTGGTAAACAAACCCGTTTGTTTAAAAAGGGATGAAACTTGCAATATGATTTGGTGTGTCAACTCTAGGGCAAGAGTTTTATTTTTAATTACCTAAGTGTGTATGAACTCCGTTTATTCAGTTTCCTATGAAATTATTAGATGGACTTTCAGTCTCTACGAATTAGTTGTTCTCGTATTAGTTTGCCAAACTTAATAGTGTGCCTAATATTTTCCAATGGCCAACTTAATTCATACTATCTACTATCTAGCATACTACCTACTACATGCTTCTTTTCTAACCTACTGGATTAATTTTTAGGCAATGCATTCCTGAAAAAAAATTAAAGGTACGCAAAAAGAAAGAAAAAGCATTCTTTTGAAAGATAGACAAACTTACTCCATTGTCTCATGTTCATTTTCTAAGCTAAAAGGGATATTTTATTTTGCAGGAATTTTTTTTCAAAAATGATAAAAGTAATATATATATGTCCCATTTCTCGAGAAGCTCACCTTATCCTTGCTATTTATTCAAACTTTGAGTTGATTTACTCTTGTCACAATATCTTATATTAAAGAATTATTGAGATGTAAAACTAAATGTGTAGGAACTTCCCTCCGTATTTGCTTTAAGTAGGTGTTTCCTACATTAGTATACACCTTTACCTTTTTAGAAGGTTTAAACAATTTGAGATTTTATTTCTTGTTATTTATATTACTCCCTGTGTCTCAATTTGAATTATTTCTTTTATTTTTTCACATGGTTATGTTGACCAATTTGTGGAACGAATTCACCTCATATTGTAAAATTAAAATATAAAACTTCAACAATTATAGAAAAATAATGCTTACGTGACAAGTATTTTTAAGAAAGCATAAAAAAACTTTGTTTGAAAAATATTCGAATCAAAATAAACATGTGTGCTTTTTTCTTTATTAATATTTCACATTGGATTATACTAGTATAATCGTTTCTGAAAATTTAAGATCGCCATCAAATTAAATGCATTGGTTTCATACCAAAACAAGAATTACGACATTTGAACAAATTTCTTCATCCATGAGCATGAATGAAATAGCAAGGGTAAATTACACTAATAATCCCCCTCTAATATGACACTTGCAGATACTTTCCATGTATTTTAGAACAAAATAATTACACTATGAAAATCCTACAAATATTTAGCTTGAATAATATTTTCCATTTTACTAGGTGTTATGAGTGTTTAGTTTTGAAAAACTAAAGATAAATCAGTAACTAATCATATATATTGAAACATAGTTAGTAAAAGATAAATCAAAATTACATGTGCAAAATTTTAAGTTCTTATATACTATTCAAATTTATGAAACTTAAGAGAATAAACATTCTTGTTGAAAATTTCTATTCACGTCTTTGATTAAAAGAGAACAAATATATTTTGAAACATGCATTTTTTAAAATTCTTAATAGGAAATGACCATTAATTACATGAATATTTAATGTTATTTATCCCAAAATAGTTTGACTATTTTAAAAAAATTGGAGAGGTATATTAATATTCTGATGGAAATGAAGTACTCAAATGTGGTTCTTTTTGAAGTTGTTACCTAAATCAGGCCATGACAACGAGAAATCACAATTTATATTGCAAGGAAAATAATTTTAGAAACTATTACTAGTACAATAAAGATGACAAAAACAAAAAAAATTACAAAAATAAAAAAGAGTAATAAATCTTAACTGATAAATAATTTTCTTATAAAAAATCAACTCCAAATTTTTCTCCCCATTCGCTAGTATAAAGTCTTTGAACCCCATTTAGTTTCATTTAGGATTTATCTGCTATAAAAGATTATTTATTTTATTTTCCAAATTACTAGTTGTATTGAGTATAATACTATGTTAATTAGGAGAACATTTTAGGTAATCTTGTTGAATATAGAAAGATGGTAAGCACCATCCACTTTCAATCAAGAAGTTGTGAATTCGAGTTCGAGTCACCCAAGACCAAGATGGAGAGTTGTTGAAAGAAAGGATGTCGATGATCTATTGGAAACGGACTCTCTTATTGTCGTTGTTATTTTATTGAATATAGAAAGAGCAAAGGGTAGTAAATAACTTTCCTAACAAAAAAGTAGGAGTAAGAGAGTAGTTATTCCTAAAAGCCGGCGTTGATCGTGTGTTGGGTGTATTCCACATTGTCGTGTGTTCAACACGGCGTCGTTTACTTTCTCTCCTTTTCTCTTCTCTTCTCCCTATCACCTACCCCATAAACCACTCCCACCTCTCCCTTTGAATTTGATCCTTTCCTTTTTCTTCTTCTTCTTCTTCTCTCTCTAAATCTCTCCCTTTTCAGAAGATCTAATTTTTTTCCTGGGTTTGCATAGTGGTTTATTATTAAGGTACTTTTTCTTTCATCAATTGTTTTTACGAGTCTTCTTTTTTCCTTTTTGGGCTAAAATTTTTGGTCAAATTTGGTAAATTGGTATTTGACGCTGATCGTTGCTGGTTTTAGTATTGAGAAATGGGGGTTTTGTGTTTTTTAGCTGAATTTTGATCTCTATTGATGTTTGACTTGCATACATATCTTATAGCTGAAGCTAATTATTGTTTCTTTCATTTAGCTCTTTTTTTGTTATCGTTTGTGGGCGTTTTTGTTATGGTATTAGATATACTGTTGTGTGAATTCTTAGGAAATGGTTATATTAGACAAAAAAATTGTACTTGTTCTGCTTCTCTGATACAAGGAACAATGTGTGTTTGGAGGACTTAGGTTTGGTTTATAGGATTTTTTATGAGACTTTTGTTCTAATAACTAGTAAGTTAATTGTACTTGTTTGTTGAAACAATAATCAAATTTTGGTGCTGAAATAGATCCCAAATTTTCTGTCTATAAGATCTGACTAACTGAATGTATTGGTCTCTTGTACTGCTGGCCCTCTCCAATTTACGTTATACTAGAATGGATACTGTTTGTTTGAACCTCCTATAGTCATGATTTTTAGTAGAGTTTCAGCTGTAGGTTGCACATGTTTGTTTCAGATTACATGTTTCTAGATTAGGTAAAGCCATCCTGGTCATTTTTTGCGCTTATTGTTTTCTGTTGATAGTATCAAGTTCTTTGAGGAGGATCATTTCGTATTTAGCTTTTTGATAGTTTTTTATCCTTAATTTCTGCGCATTCTCTTGTCAAATAGACTATTTTACATCAATTCCTTTAGATTTTCCCTATATGAATTGTACTTTTTTAACTTCAGCTGTTGTTTTGTGTTGCTTGTTTTTTCCTTACGGAAAATCATTAAAGGGGCTCTTCTAGGGATTATAGTTCTAAATGGATTTTAGTTGTGCTCTCCCCCTTTTGTTGTTTCTTAGCTTTGACTTCCTAAAGCATGATCTTATTAAAAAGGTGGTTGCTCTTGTGATATTATTTGTTGATCTTGCTTGCTCTGATGAAAAGGATTTGTGAAGCTTCGTTTGCTTAAATTTCTTTTCTAATTGTGTAGGTTAGCTTCATTTCCGGTAGAATGGATTTTTTCTTTAGGAATGTAAATGATGATTCTTCAACTATCCAGCAAGATATTGTTAGGTGCCCATTTTTGCGGAACATCAATGAGCCAACAAACTTTTCCTTCTCAAGCTCCATGGCTTTCCCACTTCCAGTAAGTTCTCAATTTTTGGATGATTTGTTGATATAGCTTTTTTCATATTATATTTGTTCAATGCTTTACATATTGATGAACTGTTCCTCCTAATGGGTTCTTATTTTAGTATACCGCTAAATTGTTGGTGGTTAGGCTGTTTTTGGTCAAACGAATTAGTGTGAGCTCAATGTTTTCCTTGCATCTGCATAGGTACGTGACGGGAAAGGTCCTATCTTTGAGGATGGTCCTAATTTTGACATGGCATTCCGGCTTTTCCATGGGCAGAATGGTGTTGTTCCACTTTCGGGGAGATCATCCATGAAGCCCGATGCTGCACCTGCATCACCTAATTTCAACCCTCTGGCAGCAAAAGCAGCTACCATAAGCCTCTCGGCTTTTGGATCTGGAGGTCCTTTTGGTTTTGATGCATTCTCAGAGAAGTGGAAGAAATTGAACTCCAAATCAAATAAAAAAGACTCTTCTTCCAAGGTACGTTTTGGTTTTACTTCAGAATCATAAAGAGCTTCATATTATAAGATCTTCTTTCATAATTCCTTATAAGAAAAAGATCTTTTATAATAGCATCGACGTTAGAATTGTGGAATTTAGAGTCGAGATTCTGCACCAAGCATCTTAAGCAATCATGTAACTGTAGATTATGCCAAATGTTTTATGACATGTATTTAGTGAAAAAACTATGTTTGACTTTTGATCCAAATTAATTCTAATGGATTAGCCATATGTCAAAATTGCTGAACTATTTGAACTCCAAATTTTTTGTCATTTCCATCTAAAAGGAACTCTTTATTGCTATCACGAAAAAAATAGGAAAGGTTTCGTAAATGGTAACCAGAGCTCAACTTGATAACTTCTTTGCTAATTTACCCCTTTTGGTATTTCAGGGAGGAGACTCAAAACATGAAGCGCTAAGCAATGAGTGGTTGCAGAGTGGGAATTGTCCTATTGCGAAGTCCTACCGTGCAGTGAGTAATGTCCTTCCTCTTGTGGCAAAGGCTTTTCAGCCCCCTCCTGGTATGAACCTCAGGTGCCCCCCGGCGATAGTTGCTGCGCGTGCTGCTCTAGCAAAGACTGCCTTCGCGAAGAACTTGCGGCCACAACCTCTACCTGCAAAAGTCTTAGTGATTGGTGTTATGGGCATGGCTGCAAATATTCCTTTAGGCATATGGAGAGAACACACTGAAAAATTTTCGCCATCATGGTTTGCAGCAGTACATGCTGCTGTACCATTCATTGGTATGCTCAGGAAGTCTGTGTTGATGCCTAAAGCAGCCATGGCATTTACCATAGCAGCATCTATCTTGGGACAAGTCATAGGCTCTAGGGCTGAACGATATAGGCTGAAAGCCGTTGCAAGTAAAAAATTGATTCTTACTGAAAACTCAACTCCTGCCAACAGTCAACTCGTGGTTAATGGAGTTAGAGGTGGACACTGCGGTGAGATCGTTGATTGGAGCAAAGGTCCTCTGCAGATTGCTGGTCCCGCTTCAACAACCAGTGTATTTAGCTGATGCCTGGAATCTTTGATGTTGTAATGATATGTTTCATGAGGTCGCATTTGATCTATCTTTTCTTTGTGTTTCTTTTTATCAGCATACAACATTCGGCAATTGAAAAATAAAGGAGGGGTTGAGCATTGTTTCTCGTTTATCGACACAGTTGATATATTTATAAAATTTGAGTGTGTTTTCTGTAGCAGAATACGTGAAAGTGATTTCCTATCTGAGCTTTGGTCAGAATGTCAAAGTTTCTGTGTTTAGCGATTGTCAACCCCCACTTAACGTTGGAGATTCCTTAATGCAACGGCAAATACGAGACAGTTCTTTATGAATGTACTAGAAGTGTAATTGATAGCATAATTGAGCAATTTTGCAACTACAACATGTGCCGTAGTTTCGGAAACAGTCTCTCTACTCCTTCGGGGTAGGGGTAAGGTCTGCGTACACACTACCCTCCCCAGACCCCACTAGTGGGATTTCACTGGGTCGTTATTGTTGTTGTAACATGTGCAGTAGTTTGTAAGTTTTTTTTTTTCATTCATTTTATTTATTTATTTTAAGTTCATTTTCTATGTATTATTTTTACTATTTGGTGCTACTGCTTTTTTCTTTTAATCCTTCTTTGAGCCGAAGGTCTCTATGAAACATTTTACCTTCTCAAGATGAGGGTATGGCCTGTGTACACACAACCCTCTTCAGATCCCACTTGTGAGATTACATTAGATTCTGGGAGGGGCTGGATGAGATTGTGCGTAATATTCCGCTTGCCGAGAGGTTATTTATAGGAGGGAATTTCAATGGACATATTGGGTCGTCTGCGGGTGGTTATAGCGAGGTGCATGACGACTTCGGTTTTGGGGATCAGAACGGAGGAGGTACTTTGTTGTTGGATTTCACTAAGGCATTTGAGCTAATGATTGCGAACTCAAGTTTTCCGAAGAGGGAAGAGCATTTGGTTGCTTTTCAAAGTACGTGGGCGAAGACTCGGATTGACTATCTCCTCTTCAGGAGATGTGACATAGGGTTGTGCAAGGATTGCAAAGTTATCCCGAGTGAGACCCTCACGACTCAACATAGTCTCTTGGCAATGGACGTCGACATAATGATAAGAAGGAAGAAGAGATCTGTACGAGGATGACCGATGATCAGGTGGGGGTGCCTTGACTAAGGATAAAGCTCAGGAGTTGAGAGAGAGGTTATCAGCTATGGGAGCATGGAGGAGTAGTGGGGACGTGAGCAATATGTGGTCAACAACGGCGGCTTGTATAAGGGAGGTGACGAGAGAGGTGTTAGGGGTGTCGTCGGGCTTCTCTGGTGGGAACAAAGGCGACTGGTGGTGAAATGAAGATGTCCAAGGTAAAGTGGAAGTGAAGAAGGTGGCGAACTTGAAGTTAGTAGGTAGCACTAGCGAGGAGGAGAGGAAAGCGAACAACGAGAGGTATAAGACTGCTAAGAATGACGTGAAGTTGGCGGTCACGGAGGCTAAATTGTAGCTTTTGCTCGGCTGTGCGAGGATCCAGGAGACAAAGACGGGGAGAAGAAGTTATTCAGGTTGGCCAAGGCGAGAGAGAGGAAGGCTCGGGATCTGAACCAAGTGAGGTGTATCAAAGATGAGGACGATAGAGTATTGATGGGGGAGAACCAGATTAAGCGGAGATGGTAGACCTACTTTCATAAATTTCTGAATGAAGAAGGGGATCGGGATATTGTGCTATGTGAATTGGGGAATTCCGAGAGTCACCGTGACTTTAGGTATTGTAGGCGCATCAAGGTTGTGGAGGTCGTGGAGGCTATGCGTAAGATGAGTAGGGCCAAAGCTACCGGGCCCGACGAGATTCCGATAGAATTTTTGAGGTGTGTGGGTAGAGCAGGTTTGCAGTGGCTGACTGAGTTGTTTAATGTTATTTTCAGGACGAAGAAGACGTCGGAGGAATGGAGATGGAGTACGGTGGTTCCATTGTACAAGAACAAAGGTGATATCCAGAGTTGTAACAACTACAAGGGTATCAAATTACTAAGTCATACTATGAAAGTTTGGGAGAGGGTGGTTGAGGTGAGGGTGAGGAGGACCGTGTCTATTTCAGACAACCACTTCGGGTTCATGTCGGGGCATTCTACTACGGAATCTATTTACCTTATTAGGAGGTTGGTGGAGCGGTACATGGATGGGAAGAAGGATCTTTATATGGTGTTTATTGATCTGGAGAAAGCGTATGATAAGGTTCCTAGATAGGTTCTATGGAGATGCTTGGAGGCAAAACGTGTGCCAATTTCTTACATTAGGGTGATTAAGGACATGTATGATGGAGCTAAAACTCGGGTTAGGACAGTGGGAGGCGACTCGGAGCACTTTTCGGTTGTTATGGGGCTACACCAAGGATCTGCGCTCAGCCCATTTCTATTTGCCCTGGTGATGGATTCTCTGACACGCCATATTCAAGTGAAAGTTCCACGGTGTATGTTATTTACTTACGACATTATTCTGATTGATGAGACGCGAGACAGCGTCAACGATCGGCTGGAGGCTTGGAGACAGGCCCTTGAGTCTAGGGGTTTCAAGTTGAGCAAGACTAAGACGGAATACCTAGAGTGCAAGTTCAACGTCGAGCCGTCGGTAGCGGGATTGGACTTTAGGCTAGGATCACAGGTCATCCCCAAGATGGGGCAGTTTCAAGTACCTTGAGTCTGTTATACAAAGGGATGGGGAGATCGACGAGGATGTCACTCACCATATAGGGTGGGGTGGATGGAGTGGAGGTTAGCGTCTGGATTCATGTGTGACAAGAAAGTGACACCGATACTCAAAGGTAAATTTTATAGAGCGGTGGTTAGACCTGCTATGTTGTATGGGGCTGAGTGTTGGCCAGTTAAGAACTTACATATCTAGAAGATGAAAGTAGCAAAAATGAGGATGTTGAAGTGGATGTGTGGGCACACTAAGATGGATAAGATTATGAATGAAGATATTCGGGAGAAAGTGGGCGTGGCCCCCATGGATGACAAGCTGCTAGAAGCTAGGCTTAGATGGTTCGGGCACGTTCAGAGGAGAAGACCAGATGCTTCGGTAAGGAGGTGCAAGCAGTTGGCTTTGGTAGGCGCGAGGAGAGGTAGATGGCGGCTTAATAAGTATTAGAAATAAGTGATCAGGCAGGATATGACGAGGCTTCAGATTACCGAGGACATGACCCTAGATAGGAAGTTGTGGAGGTCGAGCATTAGGGTCATAGGTTAGAAGGTAGTTATGCATATTCTTACGGCGTGCGAGAGTGAGGCTAGTCGGTTAGGATTTTGTCTTAGACTGCTAGTAGTTAATGTTGAGTTCACATTACTCTTTCTTTCCTCTTAGTGTCGGGCTTTATCTACTGGTTATTATTTTGCTTTTCGTCTATGTTCTTGTGATGCTGTTAATTATTTCTAAGGTTTATTGATGGTAATGATATACTGTCTCTTTTCGTTTTCTTCAGCGGAGGGTCTACCAAAAATAACATGTCTACCCCTCGGAGTAGGGGTAAGGTCTACGTACACACTACCCCTCCCCAAACCCCACTAGTGGGATTTCACTGGGTTGTTGTTGTTGTTCCAATGTATTATTTTCTATAAAAGGAAAACTAAAATTTTGATCCTATGGATTATCTAGTTATGTAAATATATGCAATTAGTCTTAATCCCATATTTAAAAATATAGGGTAAGGCTGTGTACGATAGACCCTTGATTCCGGCCCTTCCTCGAACCCCGCGCATAGCCGAAACTTAGTGCAGTGGGCTTCCCTTTAGTCTTAGTCCCATATATAATAGAAGTAGGTTATGCAATATGTGTACTTATAAATAGAGCTTATTGTAACACAATTAATACATCAATAATATATATTTTTCTCTCGTGCTTTCTCACATGGTATTAGAGCTATCGTGAGATATTTATCATTGTGCATAAATTCTAGCGACTCCGAAAATAAAAAAAAATCAATCAACCAATCTTTTCTTTTTTCCGGCAAATCAGGGCTGTCTGCAAGAAAGTTCATATCTGTCGATATTGTGAAAAAACCAACACCACCATGAGGTAGATTAGCTTCTGGCAACGAACCTGTAAAAATTTGTCCGGTAGACCCCCTCCCACGGGCCCTCATGCGCTGCCGACAGAATATTCTTTGGTGAGACTCCGATGTCATGCGCCATCCTATGAGGCTGATTTCGGCCATTTTTTTGCGACTACTCTTCTAGACAATCTATTCCCTTTGCAATTCCGAGACTACCCATCCAATTTGAACTAACTTTCGACCACTTCTATTCTTTTCAGCGTGAACAGTGATTTCCGGCGTGAATAGTAATTCTAGAATTTTTTTTGTTTTCTAGGAGTATTTTAGAACCTATTCTGTAGTGTGGAACTCGGCTGAAGCTTCAAATTCTCCAGCAACAATTTTGCAGCAAATTCTTAAACTAGTCACTGAGATTTGGCTTTAATCATTATAATGTCATGCAAATTAGAAGCCTTTGACTCACAATCTGTTGGACCCAATGTATCGAATCCAATCCGGATGGTTTCTTTATATGAATATATAGAGTTCCTTCAGTACAAATCATGTAAACATTCATCTTCTAAAATTGCCACTTTTGTTCAAATAGGTAATAACGTTACTTGTGTCTCTCAGTCTTCTTTTCCCAGTAATTGGGTTATTTATTCAAGAACGTATGATCATATTTTTGGCAATAAATCTGTTTTCACTACTATTTCATATTCTCAATCTCTTCCAATGGTCACAATGGCTAATGAGTCTCAAACCGTGGCAATTGAAATAGTCAAGCAAGTCCACTTTCTTCTTTACCTTTGCATTTGGTTTTTATGTTCCCAAGAGTCTTTATAATCCCATAGTCGTTAGTCGTTAGTCGCTTAGCCTAATTACTTAAATGTTTAGTTCTATTTCTTGATGACCTTATTTTTATACAGGAATGTAATAGGGGTGGATCATTAGTACTGCGCGTAAATCAAATGGACTTTATTACCTTATCCTTGCTAAATCACATGAACCAACATCAATAACTTGTTTTATTACTAATTTACCAGATTTATTACATAAACAGTTGGGACATCATAGTTTATCAAAACTTCATAAAATGGTACCTGGTTTGTCTCACTTGTCCACTTTAGAGTGTGAGTCATGTCAGCTCGGTAAGCATACTCCCTCTTTTTTCCTTCGGCATCCT